CTGTGTCCAGGAGACCCTCAAACAGTCTATTATTCATCTTAACTATCAATCTAGGCCTATGACTATTTATAGCAGCTTGCCAAAATATACGTTTTTCATTTCCTTCTGTCATGTTTGATTCAACTTCCGTCACTAATTCGTCATCCAGAGCAGTATGAGTTTTTATAATAGGCACAGAATTTTCTAATTGTCCTGTGGGAGATTGTCTTCCACTGTGACTGGGGATGTTCGAACCACCTGTGACGTGGGGGCCTTCGAGAGGCCCCCCAAGGAGTTTCCCGATGGTAAAGGGTTTCCTTGCTTGTCTCTGGTCGATCTACACTCATTTGTCCAGTGTCTGCCTTTGCCACACCTTCTACATAACCCAGGAGGCTGAGGCCTTCTGTTTGATTCATTCCTGGGGGTGTTATTTCTAGGGAAGCTTTGCCTACAATTTCTTTTTAGATGTCCTATCTTACCACAGTTATAACATCTGACATGTTGATATCTCTTCAAACCTTTGGGGATGGCTTCTCCTACCCAAGCTTCTAAGTCACCATAGTAAGGAACTCTGTTATCTTGATATCTTCTCTGACCTTTAGATATGGCTTCTCCTATCCATGCTTCAGTCTTATTGTCATTATACTCAATGTTGCCTGTATATAGGACCCATTCATCCAAGGGTGCTGATCGCATTTTTAAAGGCCAAAGCACCTGTTTGCATTGAGGATTCGCATTCGTATAAGCTAAAGATTCTATGAGTATTCGCCTAGCATCTATGTCTGCTATCTCTAATTGTACTGCCCTAGATAATCTTTCTAGAAAGATACTAAAACGTTCTCTAGGTCCTTGCTTTATCTTGGTATAGGGTTCTATCCTCTCTCCTAATTCATGAACCTTATCCCAAGCATTCAAAGCTGCTGTACTGCATAGAGACAAGATGTGTTCATCATAGGCAGCTTGGGTTTCTGGGTCAGCATAGAGACCCTCACCAAGAATTTTATCTTGGGGAGCTTTATACCCTTTCTTTAAGCCCTGAAGTTCAAGAGCTTTTGCTTCCTCTCTCCATAAAGCCCTCCATTCTATTTGAGAGGAGCTTTCAAGGACAGCTGATATTAATTGATCCCAATCCTTAGGGGTTACCTTGTTATTCCATGCCCATGATTCTACTAATTGCTTCACATAAGGTGAGTGCATGCCATAAGAGACTACTGCTTCCTTTATACCTTTTAAATCTTTCATACGTATTGGTTCCCACTGATATGCAACGACACCTTTTGGATGTTTCTTCGTTGCTGGCTTTTCATGAATAGATACAGGGAAAGCTCCCCTGACCCTAAATGGTGTGGAAAATTTTAAATCTTTTTCATGCCCTGTTACCTGTAGTTCTTCTTCTGATGTATCAGACTGAAGGTCTTCTAAAGCCTTAAATCTATTCACCATTGTTTCTTTGAGTGTCTGAACTTCTTGAATCAAATAACTTTCTAGAGACTTCATTGCATCAGTCAGTTTCTTACTTTCTCCAACTACAAATGATTCCATGTTTTTAATCTTATCATCCTTAGATATTATCTGAATGGCGTGTAAACTGCCTTCCAGAAACAATGTTCTATCTGCTAGCTTGCCATTATCCTCAGACATGGAAGAGATTCTGTCATCTAGTCTTTCTATCTGATGTTCCAGTTTTTTAAACTTATTAGTAGCTTCCTCCGACCAGGAGTGGGCTGTTTCTGCTAGTTTGTTAATGCATTGCATTGTTTCTGTTCTGGTTATTGAGGTATCTGACATTAAACAAATTATACCTTTCAGCTCGCCAACGCCATCTTCAATATTCTGAACCTTTCTTTCTATATTTTCTATGCTTTGAATTCTATCATTTTCAATGTTTCGAATCTTTGTCTCTATGTTTTGAATTCCATCATTTTCAATGTTTCGAATCTTTGTCACTAAGTCTCCCATGGTTTGTACAAGTTCCTTATTGTTTGCTGTAATCTCAAACCATTTCTTTAAGAATATGATGTTAATGATGAAACCCATTGCTATTACAAAATAAAAGTATATATTGGTCCAGTCATAAGTTTCTTCTGCTAAAATCCCTTCTACATATGAAGTAAAATAATTCCTAAAGTTCTGCATAGTAAAATTATCTGCCATAGTTATGGAACAATTTATCTCAGATTTTATATCAGCTTAAATTGCAAAGGATGTTACAATTACCTTAGGTGTAATTCTGCTGTCCTGGAACTTTGATGCTTTTAGTTGTATATCTCAGCTTGTGGTAGCTACGCCTGGAGGTGTGTCACCAAATAGCGCCTAGCCGCCGAGGCTCGTCTGATCCCGGTTCCTGTAAAAAGTTCTTAACAAACTATGGCAAGCAGAATTTTGTTAAAAGGGGACTTTTGGAGTTACTTGTAACACAAGACGAAACGCGTGCAAGCCGGGCGGGTGCCGCCGGGCGGGTGCCGCCGAGAGGCTCTGCGCGAATGCAAAGTCCCGTGCGGAAATGGGCAAAAAATGTTAAGCGGTAAGTGCCTTCTCAGGTCTGCTTTAGCGGCAAAGATCTCCTTTGCAGTAAGGAAGAGGCAAATGTCCCAAAGCTGTGGTGAGTCCACCTGGTTAAACCCTGCCCGTTGGGGAAGGTGGGGGAGGGGGGTGGCTTCTGCCGCCTGGGGGGCAAAACCCAGGTAAATCCCACTTCTGACACCAGATATTGCGGTAAATAAGGATCAGGATAAACAAATAGGCCGAATAGATGTTTAATCAGGGAGAAATAACTTACAACCTAGACAGATGAACACCAGGAAATTCAACCCGATCCTCTCCTGTCCGAGTCACGCCAGAAAGAGCGAGCGCCTTCCTGGCCCCCTCCGACCTCCTTCCTCAGGTCACCTCCGCCCATTGCTCCACCCCCAATGGGCGTGGTCAGTGCTACAGAAGGACTACCTCACTACAGATGCAGGATGGAGAGAGGAAGAGCTGTCACAGGGCAGCCTCTGACCTCTGAATTCCAGAGGGAGAGCTGGGCTGGAACTTTTGAGCTAGCCTGTGTTGGGTCAAGGGGGTTGAGTCTCTATTTCTCATGCCTACCCACCAGTGTAAGTGTGCTCTGGAGGCCTTTGTCATTCAAAGTGGTGGCATTCAAAGCTGTTGGCCATCAGCACTCTGATCACCAGAGAAACAAGGTTTTCCTTTTTGAAAGGTGAACCAGGCAGCACAGTGCTACTTCTACTAGGAGCAGTTAGGCGGATGGATGCTTCCATGAGAAGAATGACTTCTGTCTTGTCACCTGAGATACCCAGGATACTGAGCCATCTGTCCAACCTCTTGGGTTCACATTTTTATTTTTGATGGTGAAACTTATCAACTGTCCATAGGGCATTCTGGAAGTTCATGAGAGACTCTGTAGGTAGTGAAGGCACATATTTGTCCCACAATAACTACTTAGATGAATTTGGTTTCTTAAGTAGGTGAACTGAGTGATTTAAAAAAACACTACTGTTGTGTGTGAGCTGTTATGTGTTCATTGAGTGGAAGTGTTTGTGTGTGTAGGCACATGCCACACCTCTTTCCACCTTCATCTGGGTTGCAGTGATTAAAATAAACTCTTTGGTTCGTGCAGTAAGAGCCTCTCCACTCTGCATCATCTTGCTTGCTGATTTGCCCTTTCATTCCTTGCCTTACTTTTGGACATTTGAGAGCAGTGTCTAAATTCACAGGTTTTCCAATTTCCTCCAGAGAGGCATTAGTAATGCTGCATTTTTGTAATTGGCTCATGTCATTTAGCCCACTGCTTTAAGATTTATACATATTGTTTCCAATGTCAGGCTTTCTCTCCTCTTTAAATGCTGTGTTCATATTCCACATTGTCATTACCCATCCCACAACTGAGGAGCATTCATAGTTAATCAACATAGTAACAATTATACAAATTATTGGGATTCAGCATGATATTCTGAGACAGACACATCCATTGCCACTTCCTCTGCTCTTCTTATGGTGACTTTGAAAAAGGTTTTTGAATAAACCATATTGTTCTGATGACTATACCCTAGTAATTTGTTTTAAATAAGAATGTGTGCTGTTCTTGCTCAAGGGCAATGTTTAAAGAGGTTTTTTTTTTTTTTTTTTTTTTTTTGTGATTTCACGTGAACTTTAGGATTTTCATTCTAAAGAATATCATTGGCATATTTATAAGCACTTTGAAACCATTTGTGAAGCAACAGTCATATTTTTAAAACTAAACTTTTGCCAGGACTTTGTGTCTACTTGTCTTTCCAAGCTGAGAATTGTCTAGTCTGAAACTGCAGATGTTGCGGGAGATGTCAGAGTCTCTGTGAGGTCACTTGTGAATCAGTACATAGAAACTTGTGCAATCATTGTTTTATTGCTCTTGGCCTTTCTGATCCACAGAATGAAATCTCATAGCAGTTTTAATTTGCACTTCCCTGGTGGCAAAGAATGTTGAACTTTTTATTTTGTATTTCTTAGCCATTGGTGTTTCACTGTCCGAGAGCTCTCTATTTAGTTCTATATCCAAATTTTAAATTAGGCTATTTATTTTCTTCATGTTCAGTTATTTGTTTGTTTGCTTTTGGTTTTAGCTCTCTCTATATTCTGAACATGATTGATCTAATCAATGTATAATGGTTATAGACTTTTTCCTGTTCATGAGATCCCATTTATTAATTGTTCTTAAAGTCTATGCAATCCTGGTTCTGTTCAGAAAGTCTGTTCCTGAGCAAATGATTTCAAGCCATTCCCCACTCACTCTTCCAGATGATTCGGGTTGTCTTATCTTACACGGAGGGCCTTGCTCCACTTGGAGCTGTGTTCTGGGCACAACAATGTGGGTTCCCCTAAGTTTCTCTGCTGATCTTGGATTCTTTCTCTAGCCAGAAAAAGCACTCTTGCTCCCTCTGCCTTGGCCTCCAGACTTCCTGGAATAACAAGACCACAGGGCCAGCCCATATGGACTCCCAAGGAGTGCTCCCCTCAGCCCTCTGGCCTCCTCTGTCTTCCAGGGTGACTCTAAGAATGACTCGTGGATCTTTGCCCTGGCCGTGCTGCTGAGCAGCACCTTAGTCTACAACAGCATGAGCACCATCAACCACAAGGCCCTGGAGGAGCTACAGTATCCTGTCAGGACCTGAGCCGCCATGTTTCTCTGGCTGCACTGCATTGCATATGGAGGGTCTGACCTGAGCTGTCACTGGGTGGCTTTTGGTGGGGCAGAGGAGACCAGGGGCAGAAAGGAGTGTTCATCATGATTTATTTTTCCTAAGAGAATCGTGAGAATGTGTGCATGAATTTACTCCTCCTTAACCAAATGGCAGTTATGTCACAGAACTCACGGAGCTGATCAGGGCAAAGTCTTCCCCAAGTCCTGATGGAATGAAGAATTCCACAGAGTTTGTGAGTTTCTTTCCAGACTTCATCTGGACTGTTCGGGATTTCATGCTGGAGCTGAGGATAAATGGAGACAGCATCACGGAGGATCAGTACCTGGAGAATGCACTGAAACTGATCCCAGGTACAGGGAAGGCTGCGCTGGGGTCTGGAAAGGGCTGTGATCTGCTGAGCTGCTCCCATCCTCTGTGGGGTCCTTTTGTATTGCAGGGGGATAGAGGTCTGCAGAGATGCAGATAGGTCATTGGCTGATAATGTTTGGGAACTGGGGTTTAATGTCTTTTGAGAAAAGTAGAGCCTACAACATAGCAAAGTTATTCCAAGCCAAGGTCATTACAGTTTGTATTATCATCTAGAGTAAAGCGTCTAAACTTCTTTAAGGCCAGGCCTCTGTATTGCCTACTTTTGTGTCTGCCTTCCTTTAAGAAATAGCATTTCTCAAAATATATTTCACAGAGTTATACATTGTTCTTCTTATGGAGGATCATAGGCTTTTTAATGCTGGATTGGTTATGTTGTCTGCAAAACAGCTATATTCTAAGTAAACTGACAGATGTTCTTTTTCAGTCTATGTCTTCTCAGTATCCATCACCATTGATCACAATAATCTGCTTTTATTCAGGCTACAGTATCAGTATCAGTTATATTAATGATCTATAAACTATTTGCATGGACATTATTAATCCTATTGGAGTGGATGAAGCCTTGTGTGGAATGCCATTTCTGATATGCTCACTGATTTCACTCTTCTGTCTTTGCTTTCTCAAAATATTAAAACACATAATAGGTGGGAACACATTCCAGTTTCATGTGAGAAACCCAGCTTCCACTCAGACACATGACCCACATCTCATTCACATGGACACTGACACAGACAACATGTATACATACACTACACACATCTACATAAGAGAAAGAAACAAATTTCTCAACACAGCAGTTTCCTGAAGTACTGTCTTAATGATGCACATCAGATCTCTAGGCTTACCTGTCCTACATATGCCCATCATCCTGCCTTTCCTCCCCAGCTGCGAACAACACTTATTTTCTAGGAGTGTGTATTTGTCGTTTTCAAACAATGAATTCTGTCAGTGTCAAAGTAGTTTTCCTTTGGTGGCCATGGCACCCTTCTTAGAATTGCTACTGTTGCTACTTCTTATGCTCCATTATTCTTGTTTGTGGCTCCTCTTTTGGATCCCACAGCTCTTTAACTACAAAGGAATGATTGGGACAGAAATCACATTGAGCCTCTTTCGCTGTTCAGTCACCAGGACACACATCAACAGTATGCTTGATGCCATGCTCAGGTCTGTGAATTTCACCCATATGCTCTTCCAGGGGAGTCAAATTCTCCTGAAATATCTCACCAGACTTTTACCAAGTGCAAACTTGATATACTTTTGACATGCAAAGAAGCGTGCATGTTTATGGTAAAGAGACCCGAGAGTGCGGAACACTCCACATAGCAAGGGCCTCCGTCATTGGCTCTCTGCTCTAAGACTTTCCCCTTTGCTCTGTGTTCTCCCCAACACCAGGCAACAATCCCAGAATCCAAGCATCCAATTTGCCCAGGGAGTGCATCAGACATTTCTTTCCTAAACGGAAGTGCTTTGTGTTTGACCGGCCAACGAATGACAAGGAACTCTTAAAAAAAATTGAGACTATCTCGGAAGACCAACTGGATCCTAAGTTCCTGGAACAAACAAGGGCTTTTGTTTCTTACATCTTCACCTATGCAAAGATGAAGACCCTCAGAGAGGGGATTAAGGTCACTGGAAATCGTGAGTGTTTTGTTTTGTTTTTGAACACACTTCTGCAAAGAGTAGTATATGTTGAACTTATTAGTATGTGTATATTTTTAAAAGTTATCTATACAAAGATAATATACTTGCATCCCTACTCTGAAAAAAATACATGTTTTCTACTTAATTGTAGGTTACAAGTCCTTCTTTAAAGACTTTCTCACTAGAATATCTTGGTAACATACTTACATAAAATTGTCAACTGATAATAAAGTCACTGGTGAAAAGGGACTTAATCACCAATAAAATCAATGTTTAAACAATTAAAGCTGATATATTTTATTTTCATAGGTTATATCTTCTATATTAATTATTTTTTGAATATCAAAGTGAAATGTAATTTTGAAATTGAATATAAATATGAATATAAATACTATATTTATATGTTTATATTTATATGTTTAAAATGTGTAAGTTGATACTATTAAGAAATAATGTGATTTTTTCCTTGTTAGTTCATACAATTCATTTTCTTTAAAATTTTAAATGCAAAATTATATGTTTTATACAGTTGAATTTATTTGGTGGAGATAGATATTAACTTTTAGCCTTGTGAACCAGAAAGCCACAAACACAAAGGGACAATATGAAAGAGATTGATAGCTTATAAAAGGAGGTGAGTGTATATATGTGAGTGTGTGTTTATGAGTGCGCAAATGTAACTATGAGAGATTTAGAAATGTAGCCTTAAGATCTTCTATCCCATTCACGTATAACTTCATATTTATCCCCTAAAACTCCTGGTTTGTGAAGGGCTGGGGACTCTGGTGATGACCTACGTGGATGCCATCAACAGCGGAGCAGTGCCTTGTCTGGATGATGCTGTGACAACTCTGGCCCTGCGTGAGAACTCAGCAGCTGTACAGAAGGCAGCTGACCACTACAGTGAGCAGATGGCCCAGCGACTGAGGCTCCCCACAGACACGCTCCAGGAGCTGTTGGGTGAGCACACAGCCTGCGAGAAGGAAGCCATTGCTGTCTTCATGGAGCACTCCTTCAAGGATGAAAACCAGCAATTCCAGAAGAAGCTGCTGGTAATGTTTGTGTCATTAACTGTCATGATTCTATGCCTTCATGACTGTAGTGCGGCTGTGCCTTCATTGACCACGGGTGCTGTGATAAGCATTCTGTGTGTTCATAGTGAATTCAGTTGTGAAAGACTACATGTCCCCTCCTAAACTCAACCTGATTTTTTCTTTTAGTAAATTTAGAAATCTGTAATGGCTGGAAAAATGTGTATATAGTGTCCTAAATCCTTCATCAAGTTGGTGTCTGATGATCGCAGGTCTTCCCAGAACACTTATAGCTTATCCCTGAACTTGCTGTATTCTTCTGTTTCTAAGAAACAGTTTCTCACTAGATTCTCACTGCAGCCAGCGCTCATCTATTGCTTCTTGTTATATCATGTGTCATCGAAGGGAGAATTACAGGATGTAACACCCACAAGGAACCAGATATTTAAGATTAAGATCCATCTTTTTACAGAAGTTTAGGAGGGTTAGGAACTTAAAGAACATTTACTGTGGTTCTGCATAGATTTTTTTTTTTAAATCCTAATTCAGTTTTTAGCATTTTACATTCACTTGAGGTCTTATTATACTAGAATGCTTCTCATGGGAAATAGGTTGACTCATGTACACTTTCTTAGAATTTTATCTCTTCTATTCCTTCAACATGTCAGATCTCTGTACATTTACCTTGTAGGAATTACTAGATGAGAAGAGAGGAATTTTCATGCTGAAGAACGAAGAAGCATCAGAGAAATTCTGCCAGGGAGAACTGAATCAGCTTTCAAAGGCTTTTATGGAAAATATTTCAACATTTTCTATTCCTGGAGGACACAGGCTCTACATGGAAATGAGGGAGAAGATTGAACATGACTACTGGCAGGTGCCCAGGAAAGGGGTGAAGGTGAGGAGCAGAAAGCATGGGGAAGCTGTTGTAGGGAGCATGGGGAAGGGGTGAGGTGTAGGGAGCATGGTGAAGGGGTGAGGTGTAGGGAGCATGGTGAAGGGGTGAGGTGTAGGGAGCATGGTGAAGGGGTGAGGTGTAGGGAGCATGGGGAAGGGGTGAGGTGTAGGGAGCATGGGGAAGGGGTGAGGTGTAGGGAGCATGGGGAAGGGGTGAGGTGTAGGGAGCATGGGGAAGGGGTGAGGTGTAGGGAGCATGGGGAAGGGGTGAGGTGTAGGGAGCATGGGGAAGGGGTGAGGTGTAGGGAGCATGGGGAAGGGGTGAGGTGTAGGGAGCATGGGGAAGGGGTGAGGTGTAGGGAGCATGGGGAAGGGGTGAGGTGTAGGGAGCATGGGGAAGGGGTGAGGTGTAGGGAGCATGGGGAAGGGGTGAGGTGTAGGGAGCATGGTGAAGGGGTGAGGCATAGGGAGTACAGATGCTAAGGACATGGGGAAGGTGCTGCCATAAAACATGAGCACGCAGCACTGCCTAAGAGGAATAAGAAAACATGAGGATAGCAGGGCATCTTTAATTCATGTCGGTGTTTTCGACCAAAACCACGCTTTGCAAAGCAAGGCAAGTGCTGTACCCTCAAGCCCCATCATCAGAGCTGTGCTCAGCTAAATATGGCTGCTAGTTACTATTAATTCTGGGAAATATTCATGTAAATATTCTGATTTATCACTTAGTGAGTGTCAGGTTGGTCTACCTATGGGGTGCTAATAAATGTAAGAACACACCTAACATATTACTCAATTGTTGCCAGTGACACCATGGTGGATTCTTTCCTTAGACCTTCTCTAGTTATCTTAAATGCTCTGGGTGATGCCCTACGCTATTGTGGACAGTTTACACATCTGTTCCACGAGGCCCAGGAGGTGAAGGGGCTCATCCATGAATACATCCAGCAAGAGCAGAGGGAAGTGAAGCCCACACAATGATGCTGCATTTCACATGGGGATGCAATATTTGAGAGCGTCATAGGTTGCAGTGAGCACAACTGCACACAGCGTGGACAGGCTGTGTTGGAATCCGTTATCATTTAATACAGAAGTAGCAATTAATATTCTAGGTATCAACTCCAGAATGAATATATACTGGGTACTTTGTATTCTCAAACAGGCCCCAGAGAAAGGAATTCCTTCCAACCGGGCTATCTGCAGTAAGAGCTGCAGCCTGGGATCTCACCTACATAGCCTTACTTTTTCCCTTTGATATAGCGCCGAGAAGCCCCCTTTAATCAGTTAACAACACTAGTTGCAAGTCATGTTCCCCCACCCTGAGACTTAAGTTTGCCAGAGCATTTTGCAAGCCATGTCCCGAGGAGAGACATGAGGCACTGATTTGCTCAAGATCCTACCCAACTTCCTGGCTCTGAGAGATATGCATGCCCTATTGTCAGAGAGGTGTTAAGTGTGCCTATGGGATAGGGGAGATCTCGGGAGAACTTTAAGAAGAAGTAACTTTAAGAGAGCTTTTAGAGAGAGAACTTTTGAGGAGAGAGCTTTTAGAGAGAAATCTTAAAGAGATTTTGAGAGAGAACTCTTTTGGGAAGTCTATACATTTGAAAAATAAAGAGCCATGAGAGGACTGTGTGTGTGAGCCAGCTTATTTCTTTTTGCCCTCAGATCAGAACATTTTAGCAAACCCCTATCTAGCTGCTGTAAGCCTCCTCGTAAACCCCATTAAGGCTGGGTCTGGGAGAGTTAGAGGTATGTGGCAGTAGCTGGGATGAATGGGGGAACCATGAACCAGGAAGACTGTCATCCTTATGAAGATCATGGCCATCTGTAGGCTTCACCATAGCATTTTACCAGTGAGGCAGAGTGGAGACTGCTGACTCATACAAGTACCCGCCCAGGATTTATCAAGATTCTTTGCTCCTTGGTCCTGCAGGCAAGTGAAGTCTTCCAGAGCTTTCTGCAGTCACAGGCCACCCTTGAGAGTTCCATCCTGCAGGCAGATACAGCCCTCACCGCTGGGGAGAAGGCCCTTGCAGGTACAGGAGCATGTCCCCTGGCTTTCAGGAGGGGTCAGATTCCCACACTGGCTTCCTGATAGAAGCCACAGGAAACTCATCCCCTGATTAGCAGCCCTCTGTTCTTCTGTGGATGCTCACTCTGAGAGCAACAGGAAATCCACCTGTGTGTCAGCCAGACGGGCAGGGTCTCCTCCATCACCTCCAGAAACTCTCTCTGCGTGGTGTGGACCAGTGTGGAGTCTGCAGTTTCCTTTCAGATCTGAAACACTCTGTGGGTTCTGGAATGTAGACATTTTACTTGACCCATCACTTTCTTCCCCTTATCCACCCTGAATCCCCCATCACTTCTCCCCTCCCTGAATCTTCCTGGGACAGAGGAGAGGGCCCAGAAGGAGGCGGCCGAACAGCAGCAGGAGCTGCTAAGGCAGCAGCAGGAGGAGCAGCAGCAACTGATGGATGCTCAAGAGAGAAGTCACAAGGAAAACCTAGAGCAACTGAGGACGAAGCTGGTGCAGGAGAGAGAGCAGCTCATCCAAGACCAGAAAATGATGCTGGAGAAGCAGCTGCAGGTGGGACTCCTCTTCCCCCTGGTGGTCCTCACCCCCCTAACCGTCTTCATGCCCTCATGATCCTCCACATCCCCTGGTGGTCCTCCTCCTGGTAGTCCTCATCCCCCGGTCATCCTCATCCCACTGGTGGTCCTCATATCCTGGGGAACAGGAGAAAGTTTGTAGCCAGATCATGAGAGGATGCACCACCACAATGTAGTGTTGCTATGGAGGTCCCCCTCCCATCAGGATTTCAGTTGCTCCTTTGGGGTTTTAGTGACTGTAGTCGTTTGATTTACTGATTCGGGATATTTAAAAATGATCTCATGGAGACTCAGTAAACAAACTCTCCAACTAGGCGGTTTCATAAGGACAGCATTGGGTCTACGTTCTCAAGCCCCATTTATCAGTCACCTGAATACTCACCCACCCACTCCCAACCCGAAGATGATTTAAGCTGAATCAAAACTGAAAGAAATGTCCAGATAAAAAGGCACAGGGCATTAGCAGCTTCTTCAGGGGGTTTGTAGGTGTTGTAGCTGTCTCCAGAGTGCACAGCCTGTTTGAAGAAGCCCATGGCATAGATGTTAGTATTCACGCATCTGTACTGGCCTGTCCTTGGGGTTCTGACAGAAATTGCCCTCAGCTGCAGCCACTAAGAGCACCACCTGTGCCTATTCACTAAGTTTCTTTTTAAAAGGGCCCCGCCCACCTCCCGTCTTTCTCTCTCTGTCTCTCTGCCTCTCAGTGTCTGTCTCTCTTCACTTTTCTTTCTCCCTCCCTCTCCCTCTCTCTCCCCCTCTTTCCTCTCTTCTCTCTCCCCTCTCCCCTTCCTCCCTTTTATGATCTCTTTCCCTAGTAAAAACCCCTCTTCTTGAACCCCGTTGCATGGCATTTTTCTCTTATGGGCTGCTTTTCTTAACTTACAACAATTGGACTGATTCTCTTATTGCCCATCTGCAAGCAGAATGGTAACAGATATCTAAAACAATGGACATGTTTCTACCATCTGCATGATATGGTTGCCATACTTGTCTCAGTGATCTGAGGTCTGCACAATCCAACCAGTGGCATTACCATAGGCATGAGTGTAGGAATGTCTGCATACTGCTGCTTGCACTACAGCCAAAACACACACTATGCGTCAACATCAGTGAAGTCTCAACTATCCTTCTCCACAATGGATATGCCTAACTCAGAGGATGTTCTTCATGGTAAGGGAAATTATGTAGGCGTCCGTCATCAAGGACCACTGGCTAAAGGTTTGAAACTATAACTTGTACAATGCTGTGATTTTACAATATTTACTTCTCTGCCATGGTCACTGTTTTAGGATCAAAAGGCTTTGCTTGAAGAAGGATTTAGGAAGAAATCTGAGAAAATGAATGAAGAAATACAGCGATTGAAGCGTAACATCGATGATATGAATAGAAATAGTGGTTCTGTTTTAGAGGATATTCTAAAAGGATTTGCTACAGTAATTTGTGCTCCTGCTTTATTAGTTGCAGAGGCTGTAAAAGGTTTTATTTCAATATTTAAATAGGATTCACTCTTCTTTTGATGAAATGATAGACCATGAATATATACTTTGTCTTATGTTGAAGCTTTATGTTTTTGGTTTCATTCAGCAAGTTTAAACATAAGAAGTCCTTGTGAAAGGGTATCTACACCTAGTGCACATTAGATAGATCATATATATATATATATATATATATATATATTTGCACAAACAAGATTTGCTTTTAGGGAACAAATTTTTGAAACCATTCCTACTGAAGCTATGTGATTAGTGACTGTATGTTCTTACAGTGACTGTTGATGAACAGTCTAGAATCATTTAGGACACATGCACTCCTGCATCTTGTGAGCACTGTCTGTTCTGGGTTAGCTTGTGGGGATCACCTCACATTACTATGGTAGGAAACCCATCCCAAGTGTGGATAGTAGATTTCTGTGGCCTGGGGACATAGCTATAAGGTGAAAGCAAGCTGGGCACTAATGTCCACCACTTGTTACTTCCTGACTGTGGATGCCAGCCTCAGCTTCTTTCCTATGCCTTCCCCACTGTGCTAAATGTATCATGTGGGACCATGACCATAACAAACCCTTTCTTTCTTGAGTTGCCTTTGTTGGGGTCTTTTGTTACAGCAAGAGGAAAAGTCTTTGATATCTTTGTAATGGTGATAAATTTGGAAACTACTTAAACATCATTGAATATGATTGGCAACATATTATAATGTGTCTGGATCCTGGAGTGCTATATAATCAAGAAATAAATGACTGTCAAGCTTTCTGTATACTAATGTAAATTGACATTAAAGATTTCTTATAAAATAAAGGCAAAACACCATATAGTAGGGTGATTATTATTAACAACACTACAATTCCATGCAAATGCACAGGAACACAGATGAAGTACCTTCTGGAATATTAATAAAAAAAAAAACCCTGATTTTTGGCTTCCTTTAGGGAGAGCAAATTGGAATGAAAAGTTGAAGGGACATATGTATGTCATTATGTACTCAATCTTATAGGTTCCATGGAGAATGCTGGGAAAACAATAAGTGATGATACATTGTCTGTGGTCTAATATAGCTTGTCTAGAAACCAGAATGCAAAGCTAGCCATAGCCATAAAGGCCAGGCAATAAGGGCACATAATTTTATTTTAGCAACCCCCACATCAACACACACAAACACACATGCACAGATATACATACACAAACACATGAACACATATACACATATGAATACACACATACACACACACAACCAAATGCATGCACAAAACATGAACACATACACACACATGCATGCACATACATGAACACACATGTGAACTGAGAGGGATACACACATGAACACACATACACACATAGAGAAACACACTGAAAAGACACAGAACAGCTGTGGGAAAGCATCTCTTCATTTTAATAAGCAGAGCAGGTTATGGAAACAGGCTTGCACACCTCTGAATGTACTCATAGCCACCAAATTGTGCACTGTAATTCAGTGAGGTGTGTGATGCTAATTATACACTAATAAAGTAAATCCTGAGGAGAAAAAGTGTGAAGCCAAAGTCATCTAGACTAGTAATTTTTGTTTCATACCCTGAAGTGAGCTGGGCAATGATCTTTGTAGAGGAGACATTTTAATTTTCTATGTATCAACATAGCTTTGTGTGTGTGTGTGTGTGTGTGTGTGTGTGTGTGTGTGTGTGGTATGTGTTTGTAGAGGTGTGTGTGGAAGACAGGCATTCAATTTCTTTAATTTTAATAATCCATTTTAATCCTAATTAGTTTTCTCAAGAAGCTAATTCTGAGACTTCCTACTTCATGCAGTTTTCAAATAGAACTAAACTTAAATCAGTAACAGAATGTCTGGGGTGTCAGGAAAGCTGCCCCAACCTGATCATACAGTATTCAAATGCACTCAGGTGTCACTTCCAAAATATATGCAATATGATTATAAGGCAAGTATTTACCAAATACTTAAAGAGCAGGAAATTCATAGAACACATACAAAATCTTGGTTCATCAAGGGTGTGTGTAACAGTCAGGGAGGGAAATGACAACTCAGGTTACCTTGGCAGAGGCACTGATGCTGGCTTATGGGATGGTTCTAGGCATAGCCTTCCTGTGAGTCTCCTCACTATCCCACAGTAACACACACAAGAGATGGCCCCTCACAAGCAAAGGCCAGGAGAAGCTTCTCTGAAAAGCCACTGTGTTTCCCCTTCTTGTTCCTGAGCTTGTGACTGATCAGCCCCTTGTAGTTATGGTCTCAAGAATGCAACTGAAGGGCCTGGAGTGATGGCTCAGCAGTTAGAAGCACTCCTGCGGAGGACTTGGCTTCCATTCCCAGCACCTACTGTCTGCAGCTCCAGTTCCAGGGGATCCAGTGCTCCCTCTGTCCTCCAGGGGCACCAGGTATGCATGTGGTGCACTCACATACATGCACGCAAAACACTCATACACATCAAATAAAAATGAATAAATCACTGAAAATGTATGAGGATCCCTAAATGTATCTTGTGAATTCTGATGTTCTTTCTCATAACAATTTTCCATTCTAGTTTGCATTATATTTCTTTCCACTTATCATATTAATCCCACTTTCAAATGCTTCCCAGACACTTAGCCACAGTTAAGTACAGGGATGCATTCTGTGTGTGTGTGTGTGTGTGTGTGTGTGTGAGTGTGCGCGCGCGTACACGCGCACGCACATGTGCATTTTAATATACATTGATTGAAGAGACTGCACTGTTGGAGAGGCATATGTCAATTCCATAAGAAGGGCTTTTTCCTGCAAATGCCCAGGCCTGGACATATGATACTTCATAAAAATGTGTTACTATTAAGCTTGCCCTATTTATAAAACTAGACTAGACATTACATGTCTAGTATTGCACAGGAAAAGAAAAGAACCACAATCCACTGAAAGGTTTACAATGTAGTTGTTCTGGCCTTTATTTTCTCTGTATGTTCAAACTGTTTCCCCAATATCTGAGTAAGAGTTGTAAGAAGTTGATGAATATCTGTATAGCAAACTAGAGACTTTTGGACACATTTTAAATCATGAGATAAAGAAAAAGAATGAATTGTTCAGTTCCCTTAAAATACCAGCGGTAGCAAATTTCCTTTGCACTTGCGTTAACTTCCTTGCCTGATAAAACTTTTAGCCACCCAACATCAACTTTACTTGTCTTTACACATTTGGAGATCAGTGATTATACATCTTCAACCCACCCCAAACACCATACCCTCCCACTGCAGACATTTGGCATGGCCAGTAACTTGCATTTCACACTTGCAAATGAAGCTACAGAGGATTTTCCAGCCTGTCTACCCACACTCAATGCAGTCAGGTTGTGTACAGGATGAGAGGAGAGTTGCAACTCTGTCCGTAGGCTCAGACATCTGCCTTGCAGCTTCCAGGAGCCTCTGCTGTCCACCTTCAGAGGGTGATGACCTGGAAGGCTCCCAAACAGAAGAGGAAGTAGAACATTAGGATTGGCTGCTGTGGGGGAGTTTGTGTGGAGAAGGCACTCTGTTGAATTGGGGAGGGGCATAGAGTTAGTATGGTACTAACAAATCAAGGATATACACCAATGAGACAGAGTAAGAGCCTCAGAAATAAATCCAGGGATTAATTGTTACCTGATGTGTACCAAGAATGTCAAGAACACACATAGCAGGAGGACAGTGCCTTCAACATATTGGGATGGGGAAACAGGGCATTCACATGCAAAGAAGCAGAATTAGATCCTATATACACTACACACAAAAGTCAGCCATCCGATACACAGTTAAGAGCTATGATTCGAAACAGGATACAGCAATCCACCAGTGTGCATGTGCAAAGGCCATCCATCAGACCAGCATGTAACAGGAATAGCTGCAGAGTCCAGGAGGAACTCAACCTGGAGTAATGATGGGAAAAGAAAACAAGCTAAACATTTGCAAGGGACACTGATACAGGCACACAAAACAAGAAATCCTGTGATGTAAGCATGTAGATGAACATAGCAAGCATCAGGTAAGTAGAATAACTGGTTACAGAAAGACAAATTCCCACATACATACAAATTTTAAAAAATAATTGACTAGAAATAGCAGGATGCAGGCTACCAGTGTCTGGAGGAGGGACGCTTCAGAAGGTATTGGATAAAATTCCAGTTGCATAAGAAAGGAAATGTAGAGAAAGCATAAAACCATGAGAAGAAAAAAACAGAGTTACTAAACATTAATCTGGACAATAGCATTTTTAGGGATGAAATAAAAAGTACAAGAAACCAAAAAAAAAAAAAAAAAAAAAAAAGTAGTGCAGACTCCAACTAAAGGCTTCCTGCCAGGAGAATAGCCAAGAAAAACAGAAACCAGAATGGAAGATCAAAGTTTGCAAACCACATGTTTTCTAGGAGATACTCAAAATACATAAAAAATATCATGTTAACTCAAGCAAAACAAATAAAATACCCAATTAAATATGAAAAAGAAATTGAATATATATGTCTAAAAGAAAAGCACACAATCAGCTGATAAGTTTATTGACAGATAGTGAATATCACCGATCTTCAGAGAACTGGAAGTCAAAATTGAAATGAAGACTCTTCACATTGGCATAAACACTGTGGAGTGTACAGGAGCATTTCCTAAAATAATAAAAATAATACAAGTTCTGTATGATCCAGAGATCTTATTTCTATGTATAAGTGTCCCGTGCTACCGTCTCGCCAGCAAGAACGACGCGGCACACTCAGGATCCTTCTGCAGTAAAGCTTTAATGCATCTTGAGAGGGAGAGCATAAGCTTACAGAGTGGAGACCCCAAACATCCAAAACCCAACCCTTATATAGGTTTACAACCTTCGCCTCGGACGTGTCACCTCCTGACTGGCTGCAGCCCATCGGCCCATATGACGCCATGGGAGAGGCAGAGGCCAAGGGAGGGAAAATCACCCTGCACCTGCGCACTGACTTGTTTACTCTCAACGCCAGCCAGATGCAGGTGCCATCTTGTAATGGAGAATGCCGGGAGGGCTCCCTACATATAAGTAATGGTTAGTCTTCATTGTTGGCTTGATGGAATTTTAAATCACCATGGGAACAAATCCCTGGGCATTTCTAAGAGGTGTTATCTAGATTAGGTTGTATGGGAGACCCTTCCCAAAGATGAGTGTACTGTTCCATCTGCTGTGTCTCAAGCTCATGGAGAAGGAGGAAAAGAACTGAACCTGGGCCTTTGTTCCTCTACTTGAGGATTGTAGAAACTTGCCTATCTCATGGTCCTGTTGTGTGCCTCAATGGGCCATATCCTCCTTAACTGTCAGTCAAAACAAACCCTTTCTCCTGTGAGTCAGGTTTTAGTGTTTTGTTTTGTTTTTGTTTGTTTGTTATCAGCTCTTTGATTATAGAAACAGAAAGTAGATATGTGGTTATGTGTTACTTATGATTTAATAAAGCTTGCTTGAGGGTTCATGATGCAAAGTCAGCCACAAGCTATAGAGGCCAGGCAGTGGTGATATACACCTTCAATCCCAGCAGCCATACAGTTAGCTATAGAAGCTGGGCAGTGGTGGTAAAACACCTTTAATCCCAGGATTTGAGAGGTATAAAAAGAAGAAGCAAAGTCAGGCTTAGAGAATTTGTCTCCAGCCACAATGAGGAAAGGCAGCATTCTGGGACTAGAGTCAGGACTGGTGGAGACAGGATCACCATTTCAGTCTGAAGTAGAGGTAAGAGCTAGTGGCTGTCTGCTTTGCTTTTCTTACCTTTATCTTGGAGCTTGAACCCTAAT